CTCTCTCTCTCTCTCTTCACCTTTGTCCCCCACCTCCTTCGCTCTCCCTCTCTCCCCCTCCTTCTCCACCGCTCTCCGTCTCCCTCTCTCTCTCTTCTCCATGTCACTCCCCTTCCCTCTCCCTCTCTCCCCCACTTCTCCACCTCTCTCCATCTCCCTCTCTCTCACTTGTCTCTCTCGTTACGTGGGTCTCTGGATTGACAGTCCAGCGATAATACCACTAGGCCGTCGCCTCCCCATAGGGCTGGGGAACCGTGAATGCACTCCCCCCATCACCGAAGGATCCTTGCTCGGATCATGGAGACTCGGATGTGTAACGCTGTGGCCATTCCACTAGCAGGTTGTGTGTTCAACAGGGACAGGAGCACAAACATCGGGCCTGGCGTGTTGCGGTTCGGAGCGGAGGGAAAGCTGCTTTGAGGCGCCTCCCGTTAAGACAAAATGTCAAACCTGTCCTCTCTCACCCTGCTCAGCAAACGGCAAAACGACAGCAAATTCCTAGATGTAAAACTGTTGACCGAGACACCTCGACCGTGCACGCTTCAAAATGGCAAGCCAGTTTGGTACATTTGCAAACCGTACGGCATTTTAATGCCCGTTTCTCCCTCCGCGAGGAAGCAGAGGGGGGGTGGGCGGGGTTGGGCGTGAAAAGGTGTTTGATTATCGTGCGGTTGCTTGTGGGATCTTGCTGTGCGTTGCGTTCGGTGGCTGGGCTTCCCGCACGACGGCAGCGCCGACCCTTTGAGAAGGACCTGGTGTGCTGCTAGGGGATCACGGGCATTCCTGAGGGGGCAGGAGGCGCTACGGGAATGCAGGTCTCTCTGGCCTGACCCCCCTGCCCCTGCCGCCCTCACTCTCAGGCCTTTCCCTCCGAGCAGGAACTGGTGAATGGCGTGGAGAGGCCGACAGCACAGTGACAGGATCCAGGCTGAGATTAGCCTGCAGGGTGTGGAACGGACTGGAAGTGGCAGTGAACAGAGATAAACTTCCTTACCCAGGGATCAGTGAGTGGGACAGGAAACAGGCCTCAAGGCCAGGATGCGTCTTTTGTGTCAATGGCATGTTTTGCCCCTCAGAGCAGACATTCAGAAAATAAACAGACGACAAAAAAACAAATTGATGTTTTACTCCAGATCGCAGTTAGCAACGCCATGGCTTCTGTTTCTGTTGGCATCTTTCATTCATTCTCTCCCTCTCTCTCGCTCTCGTTCTCCCCTCTCTCTCTCCTGCCCCACCTCTCTCCCCTCTCTCCTCCTCTCCCTGCCCTCTCGTCCCCCTCTGCTTCCTTTTTCTGTCTCCCCCTCACTCCTCTCTCTTCCCCTCTGTCTCTCTCCACTCTGACCCCCTCTCTCTCTAACCATGCCCCCACTTCTCCACCTCTCTCTCCCTCTCTTTCCCTCTCTCCCTCTCCTCTCTATCTCTCCCTCTCTCTCTCTCTCCTCTGTCTCACACCCCTTCACTCTCTCTCCGTCTCTCCCCCTCTCTCTGTCTCCTCTTTCTCTCGCTCTCTCCCCACTCTCTCTCCTCTCTCTCACTTCCTCACCCCCTTCCATCTCCCTCGCTCTCTCCCTCTTCTCCACCTCTCTCCCCTCTCTCCTCCTCTCCCTGTCCTCTCGCCCCCCTCTTCTTCCTCTTTCTGTCTCCCCCTCACTCCTCTCTCTTCCCCTCTCTCTCTCCACTCTCACCCCCTCTCTCTCTAACTATGCCCCCCCCTCTCCACCTCTCTCTCTCTCCCTCTCCTCTCCCCCCCCCCTCTCTCTCCCTCCCTCCCCTCCCTCTCGCCTCTCTCCAGCTCCCCCACCCCTCTTCCTTCTCCCTCTCTCTCTATCCCTCCTCAGTCTGCAGCGTGTTTCACCCTCACCCTGGGGTCCGAAGGTTCTGAGATCAGGAATTCTTGCTCTGGGGCCTGAACACAATTCCTTGCCTGTGGGGGAGTTGGGGGTAGAAACTCCTCACAACATTGAAGAAATATTTTGATGTGCAACTTACGATTCCAAGGCTATGGGCCAAATGCTCAAGTTGAAACGGGACTCAAGTTGTTGGGCAATTGTTTTTATCTGGCACAGACTCAATGGATCAAAGGGCCTTGGTCTGTGCTTGGAGATCTCTATGATGTGTATCAGTGGTAAATGTCCCAGCGCCAAGAGAGCACCGGACTGTTGGAGGCATTGACTTCCGGGTGAGGGGTTAAATTAAAGCCCAACATTCCCGCTTGAAGTAGAGGGTATTATTTTGAAGGAGATCAGTGAGGATGCCCTCAGGACGCTGACCAATAGTCAACCCTTATCCAACGTCACATAAACAGGTGATCTGGCCGTTACCACGTCGCTGATTATGGGAGCTTGCCGCGTATCAATTGGCAGTTTCATGATCCACACGATGCAGAATTGGCCATTCAGCCCATCCAAACCTGCCATTCTAGGTCATCTGCCTCAATGCCATTCATAGAGTCTTAAAGCATGGAAAGAGGATATTTGTGTCTGAGGTGGTCACCTTCACACCTATCTGCTCTCATCCTCTTCCCCCGGCACTTCATAGGATGCCTGCAGGGCGGAAGGAGGCCATTCGGCCCATCAAGTCAAGACAGACAGTCGCTGAAGGTGGAATCGAAGCCGGGTCTCTGCCCTCCCAATGAGGCAGCATTGCTAACCATCTCCCACACGTCTCCTTGCCCCTTTCGATGCTTCTACAGTCTCCAGCAGTCACGAAAGATGCTACACGAATGCAAACTCACATTTTCTCTCCCTCTCCCTCCGCACTGCGCTCAGAGCGGCTGGGGAGTCCGCCCCCAGTATTCTGACAAAGTCTCGGTTAAACACAAAGTTGCAGCGTCTGAGCACCATGGTAAACTCGAATGGTTTTATGTTGCACTTGGCAGAATTCCAGCATCTTGATTGGGATTCTCAGAGAATTCTGTTGATAACTGCTACCCCTGAAGCAGGCTACCCCCTTGTTCCTAAAGCCCTTCTCTGTTCCTATCACTGTCCTCCTAGTTTCTCTCCTTGGTGACACTAGGCACTCCTATCACCTCCAGCCCCTATAAGCCCTCCAAATTCTCTGCAGAAAGAGGCTGTTTGGCCCATCAAGTCCAGACTGACCTCACAGAGATCATCCCACTCGGTCTCGTTCACCACCCTACCCCTGTAACCCCACGTTTCCCATGGCCAATCCACCCCAGCATGCACATCCCTGGGCACTATGGGGTAATTTAGCATGGCCAATCCACCCTAACATGCACATCCCTGGGCACTATTGGGGTAATTTAGTGTGGCCAATCCACCCTAACCTGCACATCTTTGGGACTGTGGGAGGAAACCAGAGCGCCCGGAGGAAACCCACGCAGACACGGGGAGAATGTGCAAACTCCACACAGTCACCCGAGGGTGGAATCGAACCCGGGTCCCTGGCGCTGTGAGGCAGCAGTGCTAACCGCTCAGCCACCGTGTCCCTCTATTCCAATTTTGGTCTTTTCAGACTTCCCCCGCACCCCAGTTTTAACCATTCCAACACTGGCAGCTGTGCCTTCAGCTACCTGGATCCTAAGTTCTGGAATTCTCCCCCTTAACCTCTCCACCATAAAACATCATGTCCTCTCACCCCTCAGTCGCTCCTCGTGTGGCTCAATGTCAACCTAGTTTGGTAACACTCCAACCCCGAATCATCACCCTGTAGAGGAGGCCGTTCAGCCCATTGGGGCAGGACCAGCTCTGACACCTCGTGCCAATCTCCTGCCTTTTCCCTCCATATCCCTGCCCACTATTTCTAACCAAAAATAGCCATCCAGTGCCCCTCCTGAATGGCCTTAGTTGAGCCTACTCCCCTCCACATTTCTAGGCAGTGCAAGTCCAGACCCGAACCACTCTCTGGGCTAGAGAAGTCTTTTTTTCTCTCATGTCACCCTTGCTTCATTTACACATCCCTTTAAATCCGTGCCCATGTTCCTTTAATAATCGGGAGCAGCTTCTCTTTCCTCACGGTTCGAGGCTTGTTCCTGATTTTGAAAATCTCAATCAGACCTCCTCTCAGCTTCGTCCTCTGCAGGGAGAACAGTCCTTCTTCAATCTCTCCTCATCACTGAACATGGACTCAGAACTTTGAACCATTTTGGCTTTGAAGAGGAAAACGCTGCCCCCTATGTCGCACGGGGGGGGCAGGGGGTGGGGGGGGGGGTGGGGGTGGGCTTGTGAAGATCATTTGGGAGAAAAGGGGCTTATATCTGGGGCCGAGGGAGCTTTACTCTACAAAAGTTATCACTGTATCTGACCTGGGTATTCTGTGTGTGGTCAATGGACACCCGATACACTGCCTGTGTCATCTGTACACAGACAAACCTTCACACAGAGACCAGTTGTAGTCCTGGCTCAATGGTTAGCGCTGCTGTCTTGCTGTGATAGGGATCCTGGGTTCGATTCCACCCTCGGGTGACCGTCTGTGTGGGTTTCCTCATACAGCCCAAAGGTATGCAGGTTAGATGTGATTATCCAGGCTAAATTAGAACATGGAAGTGTATAGGACAGGAACAGCCCTTGTTGTGCTGAACATAACGCCAAATTAAACTAATCCTTTCTACCTGCCCTTGGTCCATATCCATGTGCTTATCTAGAAGTCCCTTAAATGCCCCCTATGGTATCTGCCTCCACCATCACCCCTGGCAGTGCATTCCAAACTCCTACCATTCCTTGGATTTAAAAAAAAAACTTGCCCCTCACATCTCCTTTGAGCTTGCCTTCTAGTATTAGACATTTCACCTCTGGGCAAAATTGCAGACAAGGTGGATTAGGCATGGGAAATGCAGGGCTATAGGGTAAGGGTGTGGGATGGGCCGAATGGCCTGCTTCCACACTGTAGGGATTGAAGGAAATCAGGTCTCCACAACACATGCTCTGTCTTGTCCCATGGGAGCTTCATTTCATCCTAAAAGAGTTACAAACATGTGGGGTTTTATTAAAACACGGTGCAGTGATGAAGGGTTTTGTTTTTTTGGGGAGCCAGGCCTTGGCGATCATCCATCTTGAACGCAAATCCTGACCATGGAACTGTGTGAAGACCGAGATACAGTTTTAATGCTAACATCATGTGGGTGACAGTATGTCTGCATAATGACCTCAAACCCCATTTCCCCCTCTCCCCCCAACTCAATGACTTGACTCTTCCATGAACTAATAAAAGCTCCAAAAACAGATTAAATGGCTGCCAAAGACATTTTTTTTCCACTGCTGAATAGCTCATTGTTATGAAGTATTTTTCGAGCCAGCGCTCATTCTCCTCCTGTTGACTGTGAAGAACTTTTTAATGACCTTTGGATCCTTTAATCTCTTCCTGATTTTGCTGTTTTAACCTTCAGGGAACCTTGCATGTTTGTTTAACAAATCCAGTCGATGACGCTCGGTCTCAGACATAGGTGTTGACTTTTGGATCGTCTCGAATCTCAACCTAAGACCTTCCTCCTTTTCCAGTCACTAATTGCGTTGATATCAGTTTTTCAGAGTGATAGACCATTCCTCCCAGGGGACGGTTGGGTTGCGGGGGGCGGGCACTGCTGGTGGGTGTACTCCATGGTGAGAATCATCTGGTACCGCTGGACACTGACTCACCGAAGGACACAAGGTGACCTGAAACTTGGAGAAGACACAAACAATAAAGTCATAGAGTCATACAGCGCGGAAACAGACCCTTTGGTCCAACCAGTCCATAATCCCAAACTAAACCAGTCCCACCTGCCTGCTCCTGGCCCATGTCCCTCCAAACCTTTCCTATTCATGTTCTTATCCAAATGTCTTTTAAATATTGCAACCGCATCCTCTGGAAGTTCGTCCCACACCCTCTGTGTAAAAAATTTGCCCCTTCATGTCTTTTTAAAATGTCTTTCCTCTTACCTTAAAAATGTGCCCCCTTGTCTTGAAATCCCCCATCCTAGGGAAAAGGCAACTAGCTTTAATCCAATCTATACCCCTCAATATCTTATAAAATTCTATTAGGTCGCCTCTCAACCTCCTACACGCCAGTGAAAAAAAGCCCCAGCCTATCCAGTCTTTGCTTATAACTCAGCCGGGAGACCTGGGTTCACTTTGTGAGCTACAGGGAATTGCTGAATTGGCTGGGGCTATTTTTCCCTGGAGCATTGGAGGTTGACAGGTGATCTTATAGAGGTTTATAAAATCATGAAGGGCATGGATGAAATGAATAGCCAAGGTCTTTTCCCCAGGGTAGGGGAGTCCGAAACTAGAGGGTATGGGTTTAGGGTGAGAGGGGAAAGATTTAAAAGGGACCTGAGGGGCAGCGTATTCACACAGAGGGTGGTGCGTGTATGGAATGAGCTGCCAGAGGAAGTGGGGGAGGCTGGTACAATTACAACATTTAAAAGGCATTTGGATGGGTACATGGATAGGAAGGGTTTAGAGGGATATGGGCCAAATGCTGGCAAATGGGATCAGGTTAGATTGGGATGCATGGATGAGTTGGACCGAAGGGTCTGTTTCCATGCTGTACAACTTTATGACCCTAAGTTCCACCTACTCCAGAGGATGTGCAATTACATCTATGAAGAGGTTGATTAGAAAATAGTTTTAAAGAGAATCTTAAAATACGGTGAAATGATGTAGTGGTAGGTGTTGTGGTTAGGGAGGAGCAAAACGGAGTTCCGGAGTTGAGGACCCAGGCGACTGAATGGTGTAGCGATAAAATTCGTGGAATGGGGGAAGAGGTTAGGAATGGCGGGGTGCAGAGATCCTGGAGGGCCGCAGGGTTGGGAGGTGGATATGGAGATAAGGAGAGGCCATCATTTTAAATCTGGAGGAGGTGGGGGCTGGGGTCCTTGCCTAGGACAATGTGCGCAGCAAACGTCAGGTCGGGGTGGTGGGGGCAGAGTAATTTTTATGACTTCTCAATGACCCTCCCCTACTCCAGCTGCTCCCCAGGGCTGTCCCAACCACGACCCTTCTTCATGTGCGGGCTGCACACAATAGCTACGGGTGGGCTATTCAACAGGGAAGGCCATCGTAGACAAGCTGCCATCCAGCACCATTGGTTGGTTCATTTGGTTTTCTGACCAACTGCTTCCTTCCGTTCAGTTTCTGTGATAGTGGGTCCCATTTGGAACATTTCTGGGGAACGCTGGGTAAGCACAAGAGGTCGGAAGGAGCAGGAGGCCATGTGAATCGGATGTGGTGACGTGCGGTGCAAGGATTATGTCAGAGGGCATATTGTTGGAGTGAAGAGTCGCCCATTAAAAACAGAGATGGGCAGGAATTTCTGTTCTCTGAAGGTAGTGAATCTGTGGAATTCTAAAATAAGAGTTGAACTCACTCGAGGCAAAGTGATAATGACAGCCCTTGACATCAAGGCTGTATTCGACTACATGTGGCATCAAGGAGCCCCAGCAAAACTCAAATCAATGGGTATCAGAGGACAAACTCTCCAATGGTTGGAGTCATACCTGACACATAGGAAGATGGTCGTGGTTGTGGGAGGTCAATCATCTCAGCTCCAGGACATCTCTGCAGGAGTTCCTCAGGGTAGTGTCCTAGGCCCAACCATCTTCAGCTGCTTCATCAATGACCTCCCCTCCATCATAAGGTCAGAAGTTGGGATGTTCGCCGATGATTGCACAATGTTCAGCACCATTCGCGACTCCTCAGATCCTGAAGCAGTCCGTGTTCACATGCAACAAGATCTGGACAATATCCAGACTTGGGCTGACAAATGGTAAGTAACATTCGTACCCACACAAATGCCAGGCTATGAACATCACCAATAAGAGACAATCTAAGCATTACCCATTGACATTCAACGGCACGACCATCGCTGAATCCCCCACTATCAACATCCTGGAGCTTATCATTGACCAGAAACTCAACTGTGACAGCCAAATAAGTACAATTGCTCCAAGAGTAGATCAGATGCTGGGAATCCTGCAGCGAGTAACTCCCCTCCTGACTCCCCAAATCCTGTCCCACCATCTACAAGGCACAAGCCAGGAGTGTGATGGAATACTCCCCATTTGCCCCGGATGGGGGCAGCCCCAACAACACTCAAGAAGCTGAACACCATCCAGGACAAAGCAGCCCCTGCTTGATTGGTACCACATCCACAAACATCCCACTCCCTCCCCCCACCGACGCTCAGTTGCAGCAGTGTGTACCATCTACAGGGCGCGCCGCAGAAATTCACCAAAGATCCTCAGGCAGCACCTTCCAAAGCCACGACCACTTCCATCCAGAAGGACAAGGGGTAGCAGATACATGGGAACGCCACCCCTTGCAAATTGATCAAATCAAACTGGGACAACACATCAATAATTGCACGAGCCAAACAGAGACACGCCAGGGAATTCCTGGAGACCTGGCATTCCAACCGGAACTCCATCAACAAACACATTGAACTGGACCCTGTGTACAAACCGCGGAGAATCAGAATGGGGAGTAATACCACCCCACCCCCCCAAGCAAACTGAGGCATATAAATAACAAACGGGACAGAACACCAACGCTTCACTGGAGGCGCACGGACAATCTTACCTAGCAGGGTGATGAAATATTTGCAACCAAACTCACCGGCTCGGCGAGCACGTCTACAACTTCAAATCAAAATCAAAAAATTCCTTTCCGAGCCACTCCCCATCCTGACTTGGGAAATACATCGCTGTTCCTTCCCTGTCGCTGGGTCAAAATCCTGGGAATTCCCTCCCTAAGGGGACATTGTGGGTCAACCCACAGCACACGGACTGCAGGGGTTCAAGAAGGCAGCTCACCCCCACCTTCTCAAGGGGGTAACTAGGGACGGGGCATTAAATGCTGGGCCCAGGCAGCGATGCCCACATCCCACATTGAACTTTTTAAATAAAGAAAGCTTTGGCGCTCAGCCAGCGATAACAAGGTGATTGCATAACACCTCAGGATTAAATCTCTGAGGAACAAAAACAGAAGTTGCTAGAAAAGCTCAGCAGGTCTGGCAGCATCTGTGAAGCAAACACAAAATCAGAGTTAACGTTTC